ATTTCTTGGTCATTAATCATGATTAAACTGTTGTCTGGCTGCTGTCTTTGTTAGCAGACCCAGTGTAAGGCCTGGAGCGGGGGAAGCCATTCAGAATGGCCCCGTCAGTAACTAACGATAGCTCCACTAAATACAGGCGATATGAACATAACACAAAACCGCACGATTCACTAAATTTCCGCACAAAATCAGAGATTGACCGACACACTCATCGGCTCCCTACTCGGGGAGACTGTCAGAGCATGAGCTAATACTTTCTAGCTGCCTTCTTCATACCTCTACCTTGCTCCAAGTACCCTTATTCGATAAAAATTACCTTCCAATTCTGGCATGGCTGGCATAAAATGAGGTTACCTAACCTGAAGATTATAACAAAATGGTAGCATTGAGGGGGCTGGTCGTTAGTCACAAACTTGAGGCAGAGAAAGGTTAACTGCTGGTCTACTGGTCCAATGTACTTGTCCAAAATTAAATGGTAAAATGTAATTACATGTCTAGATTTTTATGCCTATTCATCCCAGCTTTAATTCAGACTTTTCAAACTACGTCCACTCATTGAATTAGGATCATTATTGTTGTTGTATGTTTGCACGAATTTAAGCACACTTGTACGTTTTTTAGGTTTTTGTGAAGCTCTGACCCTTTAAACTGAAGGTTGCGAGCTGTATTTAGTGCGTAGCTACTTTAAAGTGGTCTAAACGAGTCTTGACAACTGAGAACTAATCCAGGGGAAGTTAAAGAGCTCAGTTTTTAGAACAGCTTCTGATATCTATAACCTGAGCCACAAGTACTGTTTAATATGTTGACTAAATGTTATCAGTTTTACTTGCTACTTAAACCAGTATTAGTAACCATATCAGAGATATGAACAGTCGATATTCATATGACCTCTGATGGGTGAATTGCAATCGTTAGTAGTTTATAAAGTAAAACCTTCACAAACCAAGCAATATTGCAAATGGTAGATATATTTAGAGCAAAAATCTAGACTTCATTTTTCAGATACGTTGCGTTTAATCTTTCAATAAAACATACGCTACAAGCAATATTGCAAATGGTAGATATATTTAGAGCAAAAATCTAGACTTAATTTTTTCAGATACGTTGCGTTTAATCGTTCAATAAAACATACGCTACAAGCAATATTGCAAATGGTAGATATATTTAGAGCAAAAATCTAGACTTAATTTTTTCAGATACGTTGCGTTTATAATCTTTCAATAAAACATACGCTACAAGCAATATTGCAAATGGTAGATATATTTAGAGCAAAAATCTAGACTTAATTTTTCAGATACGTTGCGTTTAATCGTTCAATAAAACATACGCTACAAGCAATATTGCAAATGGTAGATATATTTAGAGCAAAAATCTAGACTTAATTTTTCAGCTACGTTGCGTTTAATCGTTCAATAAAACATACGCTACTTAAATACTAGTGTGGTTTGTCAGACGTCTTGTGTAAATTAGCAGGAACCCGTCTAACTTTAAAGTGGTGTCAAGACTCAAGAGACTAAAATAATTATTACCTATTTAATTCGCGTTTGTGACACCACTTGGGGGTCCACATTTTGGGCACTAAGATTCTTATTCCTTGGCCAATTTTTTGTTTTTCATGCCGATTTGAAGGCCATTAAAGCATTTGAACCTGTCAAAAAAGTTAAAGTTGTATATTTTTTACTATGATACGGTTTTTGCGGAAAGTCGTGTTAAAGTTGATGTATATATATCGTCTCGCTTTATATATAGTAAGATTATGATAATATTTTTATATTCCGAATTCATATGAACTGATTTGAAGATCGAGTTATTTTCAAAACATTTCCAAAATTGTAAATCAATTTCATGTCTCCAGAGCCAATTGCAATAACTACAAATTAGTAAATCTTAGCACGTCGGCCGAAATAAAGAATTGTTACTTCATTCTAACGAAATAAAGAATTGCTACTTCATTCTAACGTCACAAAACTAGTTTTATTTTATCGTCTTTCCCTTCGCTAGAGGGCTGCATTGTTTGGAGAATACTTGCTTTACTTTATTTCACAATCAAAGGTATTTCCACAGTCTTATCCTGGAGACAAAATTTGGGGATTTCTTGGAAACAAATTTCCAAATTTTGTACCTCCACATAAACTTTCAGCATAAAGAATAATATTACATATGTATACTAAGTTCCTTTAAAGTTAAACAAGTATACTTACTATTCGTCTAAACAGCGCGTAGTAGTAACCAGCACTTAAGAAACAGAGATAGCTAAACTGTTTCTGCAGAACATTAGATGGAATTACTAACGCTCCACAGGCACATTACAACACATTATTCCCTGACAGGACTGAGATTTCCTGGTAGTGTATCGCAATTCAAATGCGGCGAATTTCATTAATCAACCGCGTATAGAGTAGTTTTACTTTATCATTATTGATTAGTAGTCTCATAGCGGGTGCGTCTGATAAAAAGTAAAAACCAAAATGATTTCCGCCAAATTATATATATATATTTAAATTTCATTGCACATAAGTAAAGCAATTAATATATTCGTATTATTAATTTCCAAAGTCACCACACTGAGTTTATTAAAAACAGAAACTCAAAACCGGACAGATTGCTGTCATTATTCCGTGCCTCCAATTCCAGTTGTGCGGAGTTTAATTATTTTTAATAAAATGGCAATGATTTAAAATCACATGGATGATCTAACCACCTTGAAGACTGAAGGAGCGAGTATAAGGTTTTTACACCATATCGATTAAGTGTTTATAGCTGTGATGCCGCCACCCTGACTGCAAAACCAGGTAGCTAGTCTGGTAGTAGGGTTTATATCATTAACATCTCTCTGTTGCTGAAACTCTGGCTTACGTTCCTCCTCAGGACATTTAGCATAAACACCCCTCATGTTTGCGAAGCCGGGTATCCTTCTTTACCTACCGATAACCGATATTATTCTTACAGTTCCACTCTCAGAAATATCCATTTCGTTCTATCATTCTAGCATATCTCTAAATCCGGTACACTAGAGAAGTGTCTAATTTTTTCCACTAAAACTCTGCCGGCTAAAATTGATTCCTTGCATTTTAAGTTATGTTATCAAATCTTGATATTTTCTTGCTAAACACTCAGTATTAAATTCAGTGGCGTAACGTTACTATCCCCCCCCCCCCCCCCCCCGCTGAAATTTTTTGGCGCCCCGCTCCGGTGCTTTTTGTACCCCTAAATACCACTAAATAATTTTGTCGCATCGACCGGACGTTAAGTTGGACGAAATATGGTACATTTTGCTGCAAAATTGGATGATTTTTCGTAAAAAAAGACCTGCAATTCGGGATAAAAGCGTCCCCCCCTCTGTTGTTAAATTTAAACCTTTTGCAACATGTTTGGACTGCGGATACTGCTTTCGACTTACTATTAGAAACAGAACATCAAAGACTTATATTAGAGCTCAATGCGATCCAAACGAACGGATCAAAGCAACAAGAAAGGCTGGCTATGTCGAGGGGACACCTTGTTTTCCTGGAATATACCTCACTCACTTTGTCTTCCCTTTGTATCCCATAATATTGCTCCACAGTATCGACTGATAATCTCCCGAACTATGCATGAATATACCTAGAACCGTATCAATATTGTTATGCCAATAATAATTGATGAATAAATCGCAGCATTGCATCGCGACGCTCCATTATCAAAGCACCAGCCCAGTATTAAAGTACTTCAAACAGACCAGCAAACCTAGCTACAATGAACACGGTGGTCAGGTGTCAGCAGGAGTTTACGGATTGATGCGTTAGTAATCAAGTTATATGGTTATCGGCACAGCATTCGTTTGGCGACCTGTTTCTATTGTTTGCGAGGACTTTCCTCTAAAAAGTTAATCCATCCAGTAAGGTTCTGACCGTTGTAACACGTACCGACCGTCGCGTTGTAACAGATGTGAAACTGTTTGAGCGCTCTCTTTTTCTAACGTACCGCTCTTTTTCATTATGTTTAACTTTCATTTAATTGACCCTTACCTACCTATGTTATATATGTTGACCGTTGTAGTCAATTCTATTTAGATTGATCATCAGAAGTTGTGTTAAAGATAAAGCAATTTCAATTCCACAACTTTCGTCTCAATCGTTAATAGGAGTTGGCTGAAAGTTTAGAGATTAAAGACTGTGATTGATTTGGTGCTGGTTTATGAGAACAACACAAGCTGATAAATACTATAATAACCAACATTCCCTTTTATGATGATACTTGTCTGCATTCATTATATTAACCAACATATTTGTTGTATTTTCACAAAGCCTGTGAACTCTCTGCAGCTACTGTTTATAACCACCAAACTCTCTGCAGCTACTGTTTATAACCACCAAACTCTCTGCAGCTACTGTTTATAACCACCAAACTCTCTGCAGCTACTGTTTATAACCACCAAACTCTCTGCAGCTACTGTTTATAACCACCAAACTCTCTGCAGCTACTGTTTATAACCACCAAACTCTCTGCAGCTACTGTTTATAACCACCAAACTCTCTGCAGCTACTGTTTATAACCACCAAACTCTCTGCAGCTACTGTTTATAACCACCAAACTCTCTGCAGCTACTGTTTATAACCACCAAACTCTCTGCAGCTACTGTTTATAACCACCAAACTCTCTGCAGCTACTGTTTATAACCACCAAACTCTCTGCAGCTACTGTTTATAACCACCAAACTCTCTGCAGCTACTGTTTATAACCACCAAACTCTCTGCAGCTACTGTTTATAACCACCAAACTCTCTGCAGCTACTGTTTATAACCACCAAACTCTCTGCAGCTACTGTTTATAACCACCAAACTATCTGCAGCTACTGTTTATAACCACCAAACTCTCTGCAGCTACTGTTTATAACCACCAAACTCTCTGCAGCTACTGTTTATAACCACCAAACTCTCTGCAGCTACTGTTTATAACCACCAAACTCTCTGCAGCTACTGTTTATAACCACCAAACTATCTGCAGCTACTGTTTGATTAATGTCAAGTTTCATGATACAATCTCTCCTGGAGTCACGCACAGTCCTGAACACCAAGACGTCTGATCACTTCATCTCCAGTTCAAGTGATAAGGAAGCAACCGTTACGGATATCGTCATTAAGACTGGTAAGAAATTTTGTAAATAAAGACATATTGAAATAAATGAGGGCCTGACAGTAGTTACTGTATTTTAAATATTTCTATTCAGTGTTCATTGTAAAGGAATGTGAGCTTTAACTGAAACCTTAATGAATCGTACTCAGAGCCAGAACTACGGGAGAACAATGTAACAACAGATGATGAACAAGTGCAGAAACAAATGTTTGGTTACAGTCGATCTAACATAATCTCTCCTGACAGTACCCTAAGATCACCTAGCGACCTATCCCTCACTCCTTCGCCCAGGAACAAACATGGGTTACTAGGTGACGGTGCAGAATCACCCAGCAAAGTGTCACCTAACATCATATCGTCACCTAGCAACAGCTCATCACACGACCAGAAACCAGCTCACTCCTACGTAGCTATAATAGCTATGGCTATTTTGGAGTCTTCCGGCCAAAAACTGGTTCTCAGCGACATTTATAAATACATCCTGGACAAATATCCTTACTTCAAGGTACGGATATTCGAATGTTGAGTAAAATATTAAATTAATTGCGTTATTACGTTCCGTTTTGAGAGATTTCGCATTAACTTATATAACCGCAAGGTGTTTCTTAGAATTACATACAGTGCTATTCCAGTTTATAGTGCCTTGTTTGGATTATTTAATCATTATATTTGCACTTTGCGCCTTTGACAGATTTATCAGTCCAGTCCACATACTGATCACATAAAACCTATTTAATGATTGACATAAGTTGATGTAAAGAGTCTCGCCAACAACTCAGCCTGCTTCCCACGCGAACCTAACTAGTCTCCCCTACAGAACAAAGGTCAAGGCTGGAGGAACAGTGTGAGGCACAACTTGTCTCTTAACCAATGTTTCGCTAAAGCAGGGCGAGCAGAGAATGGTAAAGGAAACTATTGGACCATCCACCCAGCAAACATGGACGATTTTAAGTGAGTTTAATTCAACTCAGGAATAAGTTTAAATTTGATGTTTTTGTTTGGAGTACATTAGTATTTAGTAAGTTATTTTCTATAGTCTCGACTACAGTTGCGAAAGATGAATTACTCAAGGTATTCTCTCAAACAACTCCCGTGTGAAGAGCAAGAAACCTCATGTCAATCACTAACTCAAATCTCTTTCCAGTTTCCATAAACTCATTTCCAACTTCTCAGGAAGGGAGACTTCAGGAGAAGGTTAACGAGACGTTCCAGGAGAAAATATTTCTCAGTTAACGAGTTATCCCAACTAAACCCATTAATTTCACCCGTCTCCTTACTTAAACATGACGTGAGTTGAGCCATGTTGCTTTGATATCATTTTCAGTATTTACTGCAGACATTTAATTAAAGATCTAAATTTGTAAATCCATAAAGTTAACAATCCTCTTCCTCTCAGCACCCGAGAACAGATGAGCTCCTCTCAGCGCTCTTTAAATACAACCTCTCCAACCTGGTGTCCTCCCAGAATAACAGCATGCTCTCCAACCACCTCGCCGCCCTCTCACAAAGCCCCTTCTCACTGCAGGACAGTAGCTTGTCTCACAGTATACCCTCCAGTCTCTCCTCCAATAATGTATCACCTGGAGCCGGGGAAATGTCGAGCTTGTCCAGTAGTACCAGCAGTTTGTCGGGCTTTTCTCCCAGCAAGTTACCCAATCTGTCTCTGTCGAGTGTAGGAGCTCCTTCTTCTTCTGTTTCAGGTAATAGTTACCATCTTCTAATGTTTCATGTTATATTTACCATGGTTTGATAATGGGTAGGATAAATATTGTGGTACATAAAATACAAAGGCATGCCACGACAAGACAGGCTCCCTCCTGAGTTTTAACACACTTCATACAGAGTCAATAGATCGTATACTGTCCCTTCACCGGCTGTATCAGGAATATCGAGCCGTATCTAAACCGTTCTGACCCGTACATCTTAGGTGGTTCGAGCACCCAACTGCTACAGAATCCTCCATCCCTCCAGTTATCCTCCAGTATTTCATCTCTTCTAAACCACGACTCTAGGTGAGTTCAAAACCACAATAATTTGTATCTTTGGTCCATTTGCTTAGTATCAAATAATCAAAGATCCCTCCAATCCAATGCAGCTATGTAATTTTATCCCGATATTATTACGATCGTATTAATTGTGACCATATGACCACCCCAGTTCCCTGCTGACAAAGCCCAACTCCAGAGACCAATATCTCCCGACCCTCCTCTCCAAGAAGCTCTACACCACCTCCCCTACACCTCGCCCCACTAAGCAGCCTGCTCCTCTGGACTCACGGCTCACTGACGCTCTGAACAGTCTCAACCTCCCCTCCCTCACGGCCAACGCTTCTCTGTTAAAGTCTCACCTTCTGGCGTCCTATAAGATGCAACAGTGGTTGTCACACTGCGAGAAAGCCTTGAACTCTAAAAGCTTGTAACTGTGAGATTGTCTATTTGTTAATTTATTTCTTGCAACCATTGACATTTGATGTTGATAGATGGTAAACGAGATAACGTCATGTCATATATCAATAATTAGATATATCTTTTGGGAAGGGTCGGGGGACCTGATCTATCCATAACTTCACTACGCTATTTAATAACCACGGTACCAAGACGCGGCAAATTTTCAGTCAATTTTGCTAAAATCTCGGTTTTTGCCGTACTACCAATTAAGAAGGAGACACAATATTACCAGTGTGCAATCTCCACAACCGCCGATTCTTGACATGTCACGTGACCAGAGTTGCTGTAATACTTGGAGCTCTCTCTAAAAGGCTACTTGACAATAGGGGTACAACGTTTTAATATACTAACAGTCACACTACGGTTTATAAATCGGCTGGTTACTCACTTGTCAAATAATAAACAGCGGGTGCGCGTGATACAACCTCCAACCTCTACTCAGCATCTCAAAACCTGACAGGCCGCCTACCAATATATCGCCCCAATGTGACGGTAAATACATAAATATTTGATGGTTTGCCTTGGGCAACAACCTGTCTTCTCCTTACTGAACTGTCACTCAGATCAAGACCTCTCATACTGATCAGCTAAGTTGATAACATTACCAATTTAACTTAAATTATAACTTAAATTCACACGATTTCCCGGCGAGTGGGTTACACTGCTGAAACTCCAGAAATCAGACTTCCACTGCTACCCGGCTCCTACTGCCAGGTAACCAGTAACTATGGTAACTAGTACAGGGTAACCAGGTAACCCTGTCTCCAGACACCGCCTCCAAATATTTACTAAAGTTAGTGGAACACTGTTTGGCCGCGGAACCACAAGCTAACCCCGGCGGCAGTAGCCACTAAATTTGATTGAATCCTGTTTACAGTTTACAGGCCGCGACCCGAAATTAATTTGGCCAGTTAGCTCATTATCATTTGGGTTTGCAGTTATTAGCTGTCCCTGTGTAGTGTACAGACTGAAGTGGTTCTGCGCAACTCGGAATAGTCTGAAACAGTTGTATATAACTATAAGAGTATGAATGGAATAGAATACACAATTTAAGAATCTAACCACAACCTGTTAAATTTAACGAACTAATTTCGATTATATATGACTATTGGCGAGAGATTTAATTGGGAGCGGTAGAGTGGTGTTGATAAATTCCGAGAAAATTGAATAGAATTACTAATTAAAATTTAACCTGTTCCATTTCCATTACATCATCTCTGGGTAAATAGTTTCATAAGATCTCGACCACTGCGCACTGAGCTAGAATAACTCCACTATCCTCTAACATTTTCAATTTTACTTTGGGCTTTGCGAAAACTCCCGGCCCCTTTTTGTATAAGAATTGTAATTATAGTTGTGGTTTGGCAAAAGCTGTGATTTGTTGAGGAAAAGTCCCCAAAATTGAATATTTAAATGACTTAAAAGAGCAAGACAAATTATTTGGCATATATTTAAATTATGTGTTAACTAGCATGGGTTTTCGACAATGAAAATATTTTTAATGTTGCTGTAATTGTTATTTATCATTTTCCAGTAAGTCCGATGAAACCCAGACTATTACTAGACTATTAGACAGTTTTACTTGATCGCTTGAAACCCAGAGATCACGATTAAAAGTCCTGACCAATGAGCAGACAGGTGATCGGAGGATTACATGACAGGTCATGGAGCTACCATTCCTTAGTGTAACATAAAGAATGCGTGGCAGGAGACATAGTCTGTTTTGGGGGAAAATGAGCTGGGTTTTCATGTACTTTAATCGTTGTTAGCCTTAAACAATGAAGGCTGGCTTACAGGTCACATATTTAATGTGCGTGTGTCTGATCAACATGAACAAGGACTTTATAAAACCGTTAGGACACTGCTTTTGGCAGACACTTATTCGATTGAAATCTGGTTTTGTCCCAGAAAGAGTGATTGGGTCGTTAAATGGCGTACTGGAATAAACCCTAATGATATTGAGTTACTGGTGATGTGTTTATTCAAATAGCCATTGTTATTATTGTTGTGGTATTGAGGTACCGGGTCGGCAAGTGGCATTCATAACCCGGCTCATGGAAATATGATTATAATGAGATCCACACTTCACAGGACGCGGGTCCTTGTCCAGACAGAAGATGGAAACATAGGATTAGTGTTAAAGGAGGGTCTCTGATTATCAACGGGAGTTAGTCTGAAGTTAGTAGCTAACTGATGAACCGTATCAGCCAGCAGGTAGTAACATTTGCAATGTGGAACAGTCTGGAACAGTCACTGTTAGTAGCATTATGAACATCTGTTATTAAATCAGATTATTTAGTTTTACCATAGAAAAGAGGAGCTGTATATAAGATTGCAGTAGGAGGGCTAATGAAGCTGGTGTAATGACATGTCTAACAACACCTCAGTACTCAGTAGCTCCCTCTAATTAAGGCTAGACCAGAACCCTCTGACACCTTGTCTGCCTTCTCAGCCGTTACTGCCTAATCCACCTTGTCAACCCTTCATTCGCGTAAAGACTTCATTTAATACAAACTTATAATATACCTGTATAAATATATGATTGAGTAAGATGTTGTCTGAAATGTTCTCAAACATTTCATGATGCACGTGGAACAAAGTTGACAGGCTGTTTATATATTATATATACAATATATATATAGCTGTTTAATATATATAATATAACAACCGACCAGTCAGACCGAGCGAAGATTGGACCATTAGGAAAAACTGACAAGAGCTAAACTGTAAACGCCATGAGTTAGATTGAATCGCTCAAACCATCAAATATAAATTAGATACTTCTGATTTGTTGATCTGAGTGGATTTATTACACAGTATTTGGGTGACAGTATTGTCACATACTACACATGGTTTTCAGGAACCTATGAACTATTTAGGATTACAGAATTCAGGTAAAATTCAGAACTATGTTATTGGTCCTAATTTGGGCTCATTTAAATTCGCTCAGCGTCCAAAAATTCAAAATTAACACGTTACTTATAATATAGTTAATATAGTTACTTATATTTATATTAATACTTTAGTTTTACGGTTTTTCAGCTAGAGCAGAACGAAACTTACTGGGCCGAGCTCAGCCTGTCATACCACCGAATTTCTATTACGATTATGAACATAAATATAATAGCCTGAGGTCCCCAAGTAAAACGAAACGATATTATTTGAACCACAACCTTTACCCTGCCTTATAATACTAGCCCTAAACAATCAAATTTGTGTTTTCTATTTGTATCACGTCGTGACCACCATTGTCATTTTATGCATTTAGGATCGCCGGGCGAAAGTTACAATACAGCCGCACTGTACTCGTGCGCGGCGGGCCTACAACGTGAATAGCAATTTTCTATCATATTGCATATGTAACGTGGCCAAAACAGTTTTATTGCCCATAACTCCTTTGCCATACGTTGTATGACCCGCCGCGCACGAGTGCGCGGCTCCCCTGTATCGTCGAAACTCTACAGTAGTGAAGCGACAGTGGGGGGATCACCACGTGATACAATAACTCCTCAGGAAAGCGTTTTCATTCATGTTATATCATGTGTCATGGGATCGGAGGATTCGGAATCACTTATATTAATATTACGTCAACTGCAGTGAGCCGGCACGTCGGCAGTCGGCACGAAGCTGCGGCCAAAGCAAGCGCTGAAAGAGAACGCCGCGCATGGAGATTGGCGTGTATTGACGAATGTTACTCCGCGTCTAAATTTTTTCGAATTAGCGTCTAAATTTTTTCGAATTAGCGCAATAGCGCGTGCCGCTTTCTTCTCGAAATATTATATCATATCATTTATTAGCCCGATACAAATGCTACGCTACGAAGAAGTGCGCGCCGCGCGGGTCATTCCATTAACGTGTAACAATAAACTTCTGCGCCTAATAATAATTGACGATGTCAACCCTTTCAGATCGTTGAGCTCTGCGAAGCAAAGCAACGATCTTGTCAGATGCGAAGCAAGAATGCTAGTTTTTGCGGCGCGTCGAAGTCCTTCAACACCTTGTAGGTTTACAACCTACCAGGACGCGTCGATGTTTGTAGGTTTACAACCTACCAGGACGCGCGCCGAGTTGGACTCATATATATGGAACAAATATTTTACGAGTATCACCCGTTAAGTCGACGTCCAATATATGGAACAGATATTTTACTAGTATCACCCGTTAATCAACACCTAACCATGTGCACGGGAGGCGGGCGCGCGCCACTGCAATCACAAGGGCTCTGGATAGAGCAAACAATAGACAATGCGTGCTTTTATGGACGCGCGAACTGTGGACGAAAGGGAACGTGTCAAGTTTAAAAAAACTTTAAGTTTCAACTTACGGTACTTTATCTAGCTTGCTAATCTAATAATCGTTTCTCTTACGTTCAGAAAGCTTGAAAAGAGCGCCGCGCATACAGCGCAGAGATTGGCATGCCTGGTAAACGTTACTGGGCGGTGCTCCGCCTGTCATTCCACCTCGCCGCCTAGCTTCAATCGGTTTATGAACATTCTTAGCATGGGGCCTGCTACGCATGACAAGTTCCTTTGGCTTTAATTGCAGCGTGAGACAACTTTAATCCATGAATTTTTGAACGCTGATTTCAGATTTGTTAAATTTGTAACTAATCTGTTAGTGTTCTACTTCTAGACCAAATAAAATACAGAATTTAGCAATAAACGGGTTAGAATAAAAACACATCATAGAAAATAAGATTTCCTCATCATAAACCTACAACTCATCAGTTATATAGCTACTAGAGTAGTCAGTTATAATTCAAACAGTTCAACTGTGCACGGTCAAAGTTTTTTGGTTGATTATTTATTAAAATCAAATGGATTGAATTGTAAATAGGAAAATTGTATCTCTTATTTAAATTCTACACTATCTTTTAGTACTTTTGAGTATTCGATTTTATTTGGAACTGAAGCAGTGTAGTGTACCCCCCCCCCCCCCCTGCAATATCTAATCTGTCAATCGGCAGGCTATTACTAATTAAAATATTTGCACGGTTAATTTTAACTTTTAGGCACCTTTTGACTGTTTCCGTGCAAGAAATAGCAGCTTTAATGATTAATTATAACCGATAAGGTGGTATAAAGTACACTGTATAACATATAACATAAAAGAAGTTATCAGAAAAATTTTCCTAATCAAATAAATTTTTTTTTATCTAAAACTTTTCAAACAATACATAATTATACAGAATTGAATGCTTCTAAATAAACCCAGTTATAAAAGGAAAAAACCGATATAGCCCTAATTTTCACTATCCCAGAATATCGAAACCCGAATTATGTATTGAGAGAGGGGTAACCAAAACACGGTAGTGTGCAGTAAATACCACACCCGCAATAACATTGGGCCCTAGCAACAATTAATTAATCAATGAATCAAAACATATAATATTGTACTTATAGAAAATATAAAACTCTCAAGGCTCCTTCTCCGAGCTAATGACTCTAAAGTTCCTGATTACGTGAACTTTGTCCGGCTCTGCTGTCCTTTTATTGAGTAGCTGGACGACAACTTTCTTGTAGGCTATTCTGTCTGCAGCTGATCTATCAGGAGTTATGTAAACAGAAGTAAACCCGTCTACATGTCTTAATAACTTAGTCTTGCTCAAGATGGTACGAGCTTGATCTGAGCTTGACAAAGTGAATTTAACTGGTCTGACTCGTTCACTTGTGTCCTTTCCAACTCTATTACATCTCAAAATTTTTGGTTTTTCGTTGAGATGGTCCAACAAAATACCAGATACCTTAGCATCCAGGTTCTCCTCAGTCTCTGGAATCCCAAAGATAATCAGACTTTTACTTCGATCTTCTTCTAGGGCAACCCTTTTCACTGCAGCTTGGATTTTCTTCGGTGCAAAGGCGTTTTTGCACGTGTTTTTCAACAGAGACGAAAAGGTCTTAATCTCTTTCTGAGCTGCACTTTTCACAGTTCCAATCTCGTTATCCTTCTTCAAAGCTAACTTCTCCTGCAGATCACTGATTTTTGTCATATCTTCTTCTTGTTTAGAGAGTAACTTCTCTTGCAGTTCTATGATCTTATTCGCATCTTCTATTTTTTCTTTCCTGAACACCCTGTTGTCGGTAGCTGTTTCTGTGGCAGATTGTAACAATGGACCACAATAATCGTTCAGCAAACAGCACACTGTCTCTAGCCATTCTGATAACCTCTCTCTAGGCACACTTCTCTGGTTCAGTTTGTCAAATTGCACATCATCGTTGTGTTCGGCACCGATTTTACTTCTAATCTCCTTGAAAATACTGTTAGTTGCCATGTGTATCTGATTCACATACTCCGTAAGGAACTGGCCATTCATAACCATAGCATCATCTAGCATATCCAAGTGTTCATTCTGTAGCGGCAAAGGCATCGTACACGTTGTACAGAAAATGTACAAACAATGTATACAAATCTACAAAGCCAGAGAGATAATTCAACGCGCACACAAAACTGCTGATAAGAGAGCTACAATTTAGCAACGAATGTAAAAGTGTAATATCGACATTTTTATTTTTATTCAGCCCTTATCAGAAAACAGTCCAACAAATCAATTTTACTATTAACATAATATGTTTCAGACCAATTGAGTATATATACACACTTTTTATGAACCCAAATAATTTGTTTAGTCTTCATTTGTACAATAATTAAACCAAAGGGTTCAAATTAAAAACGTAACATCATTTCAAGTAAAGATTTAAACTTAAAGAAATATGAGTATAACATGTAATGAATAGTACAAAGCATTTAGTTAAGTAACATATAAATATCTCTTAATTGCTAATATTCCAGTTTCTTATCATCTTATCATAATAATCATCTCACATTTGCTTGCAGTGTCTGTGACTCATTTTATAATGCTCATCAGCATTCAGCCGGCACTTCGCTGAAACGTATAGTGTTAACTATTGAAACAGTATACATGATACAGATCAAACGCTTAATTTGTATCTATAAAATTCAACCTTCAGACTAATAAATGGAACGACCTCAATGAGAGACTTGTGGGCCTTGCAAATAGCCCAGTTAGGGCCCACTGTCGTGGTATCATGGATCACGACAGTGGGCCCTAGAGCCCAGTAGATCTGAATTTAAACCAATTACCTGAACCCCGGGCCTAACTATTTTACTATCTAACAAACACTAATATGTTTTCGAGTTAAGCTGGAACTGACCGCAGAGATTAAAATATTATGACCAATAAAGTTGCAACGAGATTCAAAACTCAAAAGTTCAAGTAATCAGCGTTTTACTAGAATAATCAAGCACACTGAACACAAATAACCGTTCGAGTTCCAAGTCTATCATGGTTCTGCAGTCGTCCGCTTGTTGGGGTCGTCTTTATTAGCACTTTCTTTTAATTCTTGAACAAGTTGTTTGGCCACAGTTAAATTTATGGACTCAGATCCTAGCACATCGCTTAAGTCATAATAATAATAATACAGAGTGAAATTCCATTGTTTAATATCGGTCTGTCAATAACCTAACCCTAACGTTAAACTATTTGCAAATACAAGCTATAACTCACTTTTGTTAGATTTTCTCCACTCCGTGTAGATGACTTGGGCTGGATCCTGATACCTTAGATCAACAAACTCTTTCGAACCAAGCACTTTCAAGTCAAAATCTATCTCCCCTTCAAACGACCTAGTGTATAATTAGCTTAAGTTATTTAACAATTTATTAAAAAATAGTGCAACATTAATCTAAATATCATTTTGTTAAAATCTGAATAATCGTCATTAAACTTCTCGATGATTGCTAATCTGGATTGTCTCTTATAAAACATGGTCCTAGATTAATAAACTCACAAGGTTTGAGGCTCTATTCCTTTGCCGAGACCGCCCTTTTTCCGTTTCCTCCTAATCCTGGGAGCCTTAAACAAGCTTAGGCTACTCATACTCCTCTTCATCTTGCTGTTTAGGGACACAATGTTGCTCTTTCTGGATAAGGACATCGTTCTGGGGTCAGGTAGGGGAATATCTTCGTCAGGTGAGTCTTCTTCTACTACTACATCGTACTCCCGCTTATCCCTTCTCTCCTTCTCCTCCTCCTCCTCCTCTTCCTGTGTAGGGTGTGTAGCAGGGGTGTCCTGTGCACTGTTAGCATTATCCTGTGTGCTGCTAACAGCGGTGGTGCTGCTAACAGCGGGGGTGCTGGCCCACACACTCAACCCTCCTAACCTCTCCAAGAGAGAGGGGCTCTGTGTCAAGGTCCCCACATTATTTACACTCCATGTTCTGAGTAGAACCTTCCTGGACTCTAGAGACTCGCTGATACGGCGGAGCAGGGGTTTAGGAGAGGAGTGCTGAGGACACGGCTCATCTGTGGTGGGGTGTGGAGGGAGAGGAGACTAGAGAGTCATCTGGGGTATCGGAGTCTGGTACCATAACATGGCTGAGAGGTTTAGTTATCAGTACACTGAGAGTAACCATGGTAACCATGGTAACTTTGGTAACCATGGTAACCATAGTAACCATGTCAAGAGATCCATGTTTACCAAATACTATTCTAAAACAGGCTGTCATCTTACATACACAACATTATAAGAACAGGTCGTACATTATATACTGGTACAAGTTGTTAGGCAAGTCTAAAACCATTTATAAGGATGTAACCATAATATATATGGACCTTGCAATCTGCCTCAATTTTCAATTTCCGATATTAATGTTATGTAATAATCAATAATGATGTTGGATAGAACCTGCAAAGGTCGCTAAAATTATTAATTGTGTCAGCTTTTGGTTTAAACAAGTAAAACTTTCAACAAAATGCTTAAAAACCTATCAAATATCATTACACAATATTTACTGAACAAAATTACTACATTTGTGTAAAATAATGAATTTAAAACCTTTTGGCGCACACTCAGATATTTAGAAGATTTACTGTAAGTTGATTGATGTGTCAAAACATCAGTTACAATGCAAACATACCAGAGATCAACTTCACTACAAAACAAATTATAATGCATAGTATTAGTACATATTAGTAAATAATGGAAGATCTAGACACGACATAACTACATAATATTATATCATCTAGAGAAAATATTTTAACTTGAAATGATTGAGTCTAAGACACTTTTATGATTATGTTGTGTTGATCAATAAAGCAATTCGAGAAAAGTAATATCTATGAACAATGAAAATATTATTTAAACTAATTTAATCATCTTCACAATGAAATCTATTCATTAAATTCAATACTAAAATAAAATACATTACCTAAGAGACAAAAGTTAGAATAAAATGTAAGAATAATACGTCAATAATATAATATAACTTTATAATTGTACAGAAGACTAAGAGTACTACAATTAAATATATCATAAGAGTAACTACCATATTATATCATACCTAAATCTATCTCTAAACTTCATGAAAGTTTTATGTAATAAATTCATCATTTATTCTACGTATTTTATAGTAAACAATTTAAAATCGTGAAAATAATCTTTAATCTTATCCCAAAGATTTTGGAGGACTGGTTAAACCTATAATAAGGAGTATAATAAAAGTAAAATATACGAATGCCAAAAACAATAATTTTACTAAAGAAAACATTCTCCACCCGGGACTCAATAAATAATAAAAATTACTCACATACTGTTTCACATTACTCCTTAAATACAAAACACAACATGGTGATTTACTGTGATTGAATAGAATCTAAACGTTGACGTCTTGTCTAGACGACTGACTCTCAAATACTTTCTGTTTCTTGATAGCTTCAACTTGATCACACTTTGATTCAACTTCAATCAAATACTTTAAAGCTTCATCAATTTTAAGGGTTTTGAATTTCTTTTCCTCTTTCAATCCCAGACTCTTGATGTAAGCTTTGTCTGAGTCGATGGTGATGTGATCTTTGGCGAATGTGACCACGTGATATGCATGTGATACTGATTTGTCATCAGGAAATGACAGTTCTGCCCTGATCCCCCGCTCCCACAAAGACTTCATGAACAAAAATATCTGAACAGAGTCACTATCTTGGGTATCAGAAACTATCAACACTTTCGTTTTATCAGGGGTTTTGAAAATGTTAGCCATGTCCTCCAGTAGAAAGTCCACCCCAAAAGCAGAAGGTAGAGGAGTCTCCTCCCAGCCGTGGTTGCAGTTTACAGACTGCCACTGCTCTAGCAGCTCTGTGAAGTCTCCCCCAACTGCAATAGTATCTGCTCGCCTACTATCCGAACTCTGCAGCACTACTTTAAACATGAAGTTAGAGTAACAGTTCGGATCATTACTCACCCCTGCTCGGAACTTTACCATTTTAGACAGATCCGTCTTGTAGGACTCAGATAGAGACAACTTCTCGGCTAGTTCACTGAACTTTCTCTCTGGGTCCAGAATCTCTTCAGTCTCGTTCAAATCAGACGAAGTAACCAGCAGTAAAACTTGAATGATTTCCTTCAGACCTTCTTTAAACAAGTTTCCAATCCTCCGACCAGATTTGTACAGTATGAGGTTCGTATCACGGTCTGTGCGCTTGTGGATTAAATCTATCGGACCTTCGCACTTCAATAAAGTTAGAAAACTTGAAACTTGTCTCTCGTTCAATGAATTGAGTTTAGAATAGCTCTTCAGGGCCTCTTCTAACTTTGAGTAGTTTTGATAAAAATCGTAGATGTACTTCAAAATCTCATTATGATAAATCTCGTCAATTTTATAAAACAATAAAATCGCTCTCATAATCTTGGTGTGATTTACATAAATTGTTATGTTGGATGTTTTAAATTCGGGTATTGCCTTCAAAACGTCAAGAAGAGTCAGTAACACTTCAGCCTTTGCGACGATATGCGAGCCAGACGAGATGATATCAAAACTACCCTCCAAAATATCGCGAGGGTTTGGGTTCGGATCCGGTTTCTTCATTTTTTCAACCCTCCTCCGGAAAACCTGCGTAAAACCGTACCTCTTCAAGTCACGGGTATTGTTCTTGAGGACATGTTTAGCTAAGTTGAGCTTTAAACTACAGGGGAGCACCTGGTAATGCCCCTGACTTGGACAGGAAGTTGTAGGGACGGTCCTGCTGATCAGTCAGGTCACATTTGGGGAGGAGGAAGGGAAGAGGGCACTGAACTGCTCCATGCTTGTGGAACACCGGCATCATTCTCTCGATAATATCGTTCATTGCACGTGTGAACTGACTATCATGATTCTTGGTGTCCGGTTCATCGTAGAGGTCGTACTGAAGAAAGCCACCATTAGCGATATCCTTGCTAAAGAGACAGTCTATAAACTGGTCCCGCCGCTGGGAACCGTGTTCTGAGTTTATGTGCCGTAAGATCTCTTGGAGACCCTGCTGAGCGAGTCGAGGAGGGAGGATATCATTCTGGGATAGCTCGCTCGCCTTAGGACGCACTGTCAAGTCGTGACTCAGCATTTTGCGGACTAAAACTTCCAGTTCAGAAAACTTGTCCCCACTAAATACATCATCTGGTATCTTGATTTCAGGTTTTCGCAGACTCTCGAGCACAAAATACCGCTCAGTTTTTGTGTTGAAAGGTCCATGGACCATTTCGAAGGTAATTATACCTAAGCTGTAGATGTCAACTAGAGGCGTGTACTTACGTTGAGATCTGATCTCTGGAGCAATGTAATGAGAGGTCCCAACCACTGAGTTAGGTCCGCCTCGACCGTGACTACCACTAACAGCCAACCCAAAATCACCAATTTTTATATCATTTTTAGCGTCTAAAAATATGTTCTCCGGCTTTAGATCCCGATGAATAATGTTCATGAAATGGATGTACTCTAGAGCATCAACTATTTGCCTGAGAAGTCTGAGAAAAAGATCTGGATCTTTGTAAAGAGGTGGATCTAGTTTCGTATTGCAGATCAGTGTTCTCAAGGTAGTGTTTTCACAAAACTCCATCTGAATGAACATCACAATTACCGAGCAAGACGGAGAATCCGTTTCGTTTTCTGAAGCCTGAGACGTCTCCACTCCTGACGGTTTACACGAGTGCTCGAATACGATGTCGTCTGAATCATCCTCGGACTCCTCTTCGCTCTCGTCGGACATATCCTCGTGGTAACGTGATCTAATATCTGCTTTGGAGGGCTGGAACGACATCTCCGCACCCCAATCCCCGGACCCCTCTGAAGAGTAGGACGGGAAGGAGGAGGAGGATCCTGTCTGTGATATATCAGACGCTTTGCTTGCTGTATTATCACTGCTGTCAAGTGGATCCCTTATCATTTGACTCTCAATAAACACGCTATTGTAGCGGACAATGTTATTGTGCTTCAACTGGGACAGCAGCTTCACTTCCTTCCTCATTGACTCTATAGCATTTTTAGACGACCTAGAGAGCTGCACCACTTTCATGGCATAAAAACTACCGTCAATTTTATTGCGCACTTTGATAACGCTGCCGAAACCACCTCTCCCAAGTACGCCTTTAACGTCGTACTCATTCGTAAGTCTATTGGACCTGATCCAGGGCTGCTCTGTATCATCTTCTGAACCCTCTTCTAATGTCCCGGTCCCTGTTCCAGTGGAGAACTGCATGTTTTGTTCCTCCACATTATCCGTGATGTGAAGCATCTGTTCTCCGATGAAATCGTGTGATGCTAACGTTGCAAGTGTAGCTCTGCACGTTTTATCCTCGGTCACACATTGCTTAATGAAGTCCAGCAGGTGAGGTTCTAAGTGGGATGGTGGAGAAGGATAGGCAGAGTCAGGTTTTCTACCTACAGAGACGTGGTAAATGAGATGACCCAGCAACAGAATGTCCAGGTACCGTCCACTTTCTTTAACTGCATCCGGATATTTTAGGGAAAACTTCTTAAACGGTGTTTTTAAACTGTTCAGCAACAATTTTTTGGAGAATCCGTATTCACCGATCAAGTGTCGTCCCTGCCTGCTCACAAACACAGAATCAACAGACAGTAGACCGTGCATTATGTCTTGATTGTGCAGGAACTGTAACCCCGACACAACCTCTTTAGCAAGTTGTTTGCTATTCGCATATGGTTTTGTAAACCCTGAAAGAGGCAAGGCGTCACCAGTTAGGACATGGACAACGTTACTGACATTTGATACATTGCAGGCGAGACCCAGGTACTTCAATACACTGGCATGACTGTTCAGCTTTTGGGTTCGAGAGAATTCTTTTTGGATACCTTGCAGCTCAGTTTTTAATTTAACTGAGGACAAATCAAGAATGTACTCGTGGACGAGATGAAGTTTATAATTTTCATCAAAAGCATTGAAAACGCCCTGGTCTGTAGCTTCAGATAGACATGTGATGTTAAAGCAGAAACTGTTTCCTGTGCTCAAAGGGTCCTTATAAATCTGCAACCTCGAACCAGCTTGAATACAAGGAGGATACCTCTTTTCACATGTTTTACCCTGAATCACAATGAGATTGGACTCCTTTGACTTGATCTCGAGCTCTTCTTTGTTAGTTTTCTCCATATCATCATGTAAAGAATAACTCTTCTTGTTGTTATCGTACAAATACTGCTTAACAAGGTCCACCACCCTATCAACTGCCAGGTCACTGTCCCTCTGGGCCCCCTCCGAACACTTGTCCACTGTGTCCTGCAGCTCCTTGATCTGGTGCTCCGTGAGACCCAGGTGGTTTCCTGGCTCTAAACCTATCGTGTTGTTCTTCACAGTACATTTCAGGGACTTCTTAGGGTACGGAGGAGCAGCGTCAAAACACAGTTTCACTGACACGTAGTAAGGTACCTCTTGAGGGTAGAGGATAAGAGAGTAAATATAAGGGTTGTTGGGATTTGCTTCAAAGTTCTTGGTTGAATACTGAGCTTCTAGTAAGTCTTGTTCGAACTGCACAGATTCTGAGAGTCCTGATAACGAGCTCTCTTCATCGCTCATTTACCCTGCGAGATTAGTTTATCAGATGTTAATTAGTTAATCAGATGTTAATTAGTTAATCAGATATTAATTAGTTAATCAGATGTTAATTAGTTAATCAGATGTTAATTAGTTAATCAGATGTTAATTAGTTAATCAGATTATGAATGGTCTAATTGATATTGAAAATAGTTTTCAGAAGTAAGTATAGGTACGATGTATGAACTTGAATTAAAAAATAATAGTTCCATAATAATGTAAGATAATGTAGAAATGCTTTAGTCTGTACAATAGAATATATATTATATATACATTATACAAATAATATAATATTTAAAAGGGATATATCTTGTAATTCCTTGCTGATTGATATATACATTATACACGTGTCTTGGCATGAGTCGTCAAGTTTAAACGAATTACTTCGGATGGTAAAAATTGTTGACAGAATAAACTATCAAACTGGCAAAAATCTCATAATATAACCATCTCATATAGCCACGTACCTATGTGGTAGTTAATGCTAGCCTTGCTTGTAAAAACATTAAACATCTGATATATTACTGCTAGCCTTGCTTGTAAAAACATTAAACATCTGATGTATTACTGCTAGCCTTGCTTGTAAAAACATCAAACATCTGATATATTACTGCTAGCCTTGCTTGTAAAAACATTAAACATCTGATATAAGTTAGATTTCTCCAAAGTACTAGAATCTAAGTGGACTGTCTCACGTGACACCCATGAGAGAAACAAAGTCTCTCCAACTAATCCTCCCATCCTGGTCCCAATCTGCTTTATCAAACACGTCCTCAGCAGTGGAGTAGTTAGGCATCACCTCTCTCACTGCCCTCAGAAAGTCACTTTTAGATATGAACCCGTTACAAGACCAGTCAAATGACTGGAAGATCTGTTTCAGTGTTTCTGAAGTACTCCTTAGTTTAGCTTGTTCCAGTTGTATCCTGGTGAAAGTGTCTATATCCAAGGTATCACCCACCTCCATATCTCGATACAGTCTCTCCACCATGCTTTTAGAGGGTTTGTAGCCGGATATAGCAAGAGCGGCTACCTTGTATTGTTTACGAGTAAGGTATGTAGAGTCTGTGCTGTACTTCTTGAAAACAGCTCGTATTCTGTCAGGATCTGTTACCAGCGTCATCACACCTAACAACACAAGTGGGTCATTATTGGAACAATACCACCTAACAACACAAGTGGGTCATAATACCACCTAATATCCACCTAATAGCAGACTCCGCGAGGAGTTGCCAATATTGCGCTTGGAAACTTCGAAATTTGGAAGGAAACGGTCATTAAATTAATTCAGTTAAACTGCAATAGATAATTACACAAGTATTATAACTTTATTTGGTACACTTGCTCATCATAATGATTCAAATATTCAGGAATAAATCGTTTTTTAAATTCTAACCCTGACGTTCAGCTTAAATCGACTGTAAATATCTTTTATCAAGCTATCATTCGCATCAATAATAAATATTATAAATAAATAATGTTCAAATTTGTTCAATGTATATAACTGGTAACTGGTCAAGATAGTTCAATTCTGGATAAAAATTAATTTGTCACAGTGACAAAGCTAAGTGACATTTGTCACAGTGACAAAGCTAAGAGGATTCATTTGTCACAGTGACAAAGCTAAGTGACATTTGTCACAGTGACAAAGCTAAGAGGATTCTTCCTTAAAATAGATTTCTTACACAACCGTTCTATTTTTAACCGGAGATTAGAAATTGGAAAAAAATACTCTAATGAGGCTGACGTCCCTTTATTCGAATATTCAACAATGTGTTAAACACAGTTCCACTATCAAAAGATATTAGTCAGAAAACACAAGCTATTCAGCGGAAGTCAGAAGCCCGGGCGAGGTTGAGATCCACACTGCTCCTCCTCTCCCCCTCCTCCTCCTCGTCAGTATCGTCCTCTAGATCCTCCTCAGTCTGAGAGTCACTGTTCAGCTCCTTTAAAGCGTTTTTGTAAGAAACAAATTTGAGTTGTTGTTCCTCCCCGGAGTCCGTCCTGATGACCAGGTCCATGTTGGTTCGGGGACTCACCCCCAGTGCAAGGAACGAGCTCTCTGCCTTCTTTTGTAGTTCCTTTATTGCTACTAGTTTCTTACTCTCGTATTTTATCTTCTGGAGCCGGTAGATGCCGTCTGAGTCACAGGAGTATCTGAATTTAGCAACACCAGTCGGCCGAGTGTAGTCGTGCTTACTGAAAGAGAGAGGGCTCGTCACAATGTTATAACAATAATAGGGGGGACGGGGGGGGGGGGGGGGGGGGGTATATTCAGCCCTGATCAATTATACTAAATTAATTACTCTTCAAATTTACTACACTATTTCCTTGACATTAATTTAGCTATGAATATAATACAATACAGAGAAATCAATGTAAAGCAACTAAAAGTAATCTTACTTAATAAGATGTCTTGAGAGGGTCCTGCCCTCGCCCAGCAGTTTATTACAGATATGACACATGTAGTTTTTAGGGCAGCTGGAGTGTTTCTTCTTGAGATGTAGTTTGTAGGTGTCCTCGTTATAACACGTGTATTTACAGTCCCCCTCCTTACACTGAAACACTTCCCTCTCCACATGGGCGCGCTCCACGTGTTTAGACAGATCGTACCTATCTTTAGCTTTGTAGTCACAGTTCTGATGCTGACACGCATACTTCCTCTCCTTCCTGTGACGGTATATGATGTGTTTCCTCAGTCCACTAGGTTTACTGAAGGTATTGTGGCAGTATTGACACATGATATTGTAGATGTGACTCCGCATGTGGTTCTGCAGTATTGTCTCTGAGGGGTACTTCTTCTGACAGTACGTGCACTGGAAGTATTTAGGTATAAGCTCCAATCAGCTCACTTCAATCTCCATGATAATAATATAGATAAAGTATGCATTAAATACGGGAAACACTTGAAATTAGTTCAATTGCCGTAGAACTTAACTTGTATCTGTAATTCAAGAAATTGTAAGCAAAGGTAAACTATACTCGTGTACACATGGGTTACATATCAATACACTACGCGTGCCACGTACAAATAGGGCTTATAACCTGGAAGACTATGTTATCCAGGATGAACCCGCTCTCCTCTGTAGCCTGTCTCCGGTGATGGTCCAGGAACTTGTCCTTGTTACAGAACAGAGCTCCACATCTGGAGCAGGCGTAGGGTCTGAGGTTGGTGTGTGTCTGGGTGTGTTGCTGCACCTTGTTAACATCACTAGATACACACTCGTTACACCCCGCCCACTTACACCTGTACAGGGTTAAACCTTTGGAGCGCTTCTTGCTGTGGGGTCCTTGTAGTGCTATACGTTTTACTTTCGGGGCGTCCGGCACTTTCTGTTCGTATACGTGAAAACGAACGTGATCATCAAAAGATGTGATACAGTTGCACTTGAAGGAGCAGCCCTCCCATTGGCAAAATATAGAGGTGGGGAAGTCTGGAACCATGTTCTGATAGGAGGTGTCTAGCTGACACGGGACAAATATCTTGTTAGCTCGTAATGCTAGCAATCCTCGCACCTTCAAATAAATACAGTTAGCAATCCTCGCACCTTCAAATAAATACAGTTAGCAAGCCTCGCACCTTCAAATAAATACAGTTCAAGTTAATATAGTAACAATAATAAATACAGTTCAAGTTAATATAGTAACAACTAATAAATTCAGTTCAAGTTAATATAGTAACAACCGATACTGTTTTCAAGGCAATCATAGCTACCTAATTGGTTAAAAAAGTGTTGATGAAAACACATATCATTGAAAGAAACCTTGAGTTTTTGATGGAAGGGATGATAGAGGACATGTCTAGCAAACTGTAGCTCCTGCTTGATGCCCTCGTCCGGTTTAGCACAACCCCTCCACTTACACACGAAGCTTTCCACCCTCCCCTCCAGTAAGTTATCACATTCCTCGTGCACGTGACTCTGGATGTGATGCAGGAAGAAGGAGTTCTGGACCAGTTGGAAGCTCTCCCCGCACCCGTCCCATTCACAAATCAGCCTGAGTAGGTGGTTATTATAGAGCCTGAGTAGGTGGCTTATTATAGAGCCTGAGTAGGTGGCTTATTATAGACCCTGAGTAGGTGGCTTATTATAGAGCCTGAGTAGGTGGCTTATTATAGAGCCTGAGTAGGTGGCTTATTATAGAGCCTGAGTAGGTGGCTTATTATAGAGCCTGAGTAGGTGGCTTATTATAGAGCCTGAGTAGGTGGCTTATTATAGAGCCTGAGTAGGTGGCTTATTATAGAGCCTGAGTAGGTGGCTTATTATAGAGCCTGAGTAGGTGGCTTATTATAGAGCCTGAGTAGGTGGCTTATTATAGAGCCTGAGTGGGGGGGGGGGGGGCCAATGGCATAAAATGGCATAAAATGGCATAAAATGGAGACTTTTTCTATGGAGAAAATGGAAAAACCCATGAGTAATTCTCCATTTTCTCCATTTTATGCCATGAATTTTGTCTTCGAAATTTCATCTTTAACACCATTTAACACCTAAATTGGACATCCTAACATGTTTATTTACGCTTACTAGGGGCGTAACAAGCTTATGAAAGCTCATAGTAGGCTACTAGATGCTTATACTAGGTTAGTAGAGGCACACTTCAGGCAAACTCATAATTACTCAAGCCTAGTGTAAAGTTATTTCTACAGGCTACAGCAGGAGTGAGTAATAGGGGAGAGTAATAGGCACTGAGAAGTGAGACCTACATCCTCGAAAGTCGAAACAAGCTCGCACTGCAACGGGGAGGCCTGCCTTCCGAGATCGCATTACCAGGGGAATTGCCTCGAGTCCAAATTTGTGTATCGAGGGGTAGGTGCAGACTTCGATAAACCGAAAAACCAACAAAATATTTTCGACTAATAATGAAGAGGGTAGCAGGAACCGTGGAGAAAAGTGGTTTTTAGAAAAACTTTGAAAAATTTTGACTTAGAAAATTTTCGGCCCGAGTCGAGTTCTCGATACGTACCTCTCGTATCGAGAGCTCCCGATTCCGAGCTCGTGTTGCAAAGGGGAGGCCTGCCTTCCGAGATCGCATTACCAGGGGGAAGCATCGAGTCCAAAATTGTGTACCGAGGGGTAAATTTCTAAGTCAACATTTTTCAAAGTTTTTCTGAAAAACACTTTTCTCCACGTTTCATGCTACCTTGTTCATTATAAGCCGAAAATATTTTTTCGGTCAAAATTTTTCAAATTTTTTCTGAAAACCGCTTTTCTCCACGTTTCATGCTACCCTGTTCATTATTTGCCGAAAATATTTTTTCGGTTTTTCGAAGTCCACACCTTCCCCTCGATACACAATTTTGGACTCGAGGTAATGCGATCTCGGAAGGCAGGCCTCCCCTTTGCAACAAGAGCTCGGAATCGGGAGCTCTCGATACGGGAGGTACGTATCGAAAATGACTCGGACCGAAAATTTTCTAAGTCAACATTTTTCAAAGTTTTTCTCAAAACCACTTTTCTCCATGTTTCATGATACCCTGTTCATTATTGGCCGAAAATATCTTTTTTTAAAATAATTTTTCTCGAAATTCTAAATTTTTCAGGTTTTCAATGGCATAAAATGGCATAAAATGGCATAAAATGGAGACTATTTCTATGGAGAAAATGGAAAAACCTATGAGTAATTCTCCATTTTCTCCATTTATGCCATTGGCCCCCCCCCCGCCTGAGTAGGTGGCTTATTATAGAGCCTGAGTAGGTGGCTTATTATAGAGCCTGAGTAGGTGGCTTATTATAGAGCCTGAGTAGGTGGCTTATTATAGAGCCTGAGTAGGTGGCTTATTATATAGCCTGAGTAGGTGGCTTATTATAGAGCCTGAGTAGGTGGCTTATTATAGAGCCTGAGTAGGTGGCTTATTATAGACATGATATACAGATACAAACACAGCTGTAGAAGTAGCACAACAATTCAAACGTTTATGAAGAAATAAAAAACCTTTACACTAATATCTAACATTAGTTTACATTCAATACACAGAAACGAATAGAACAGAAGGAGGGGGGGGGGGGGTCACACAGAAGCTCACATGTAAGTTTTACACTCTTCCTTTTCAGATTCAAGGAAACCAGCAATCTCATCCTCAATAAGCTCATATTTGTAGAACAACTCAGCAGTGGAGTGGCTGTCTTCCGAACCTGGTCAAACGCAATAAATTATGTTTATTTATGTAATATCTGTAATGTTTATTTATGTAATATCTGTAATGTTTATTTATGTAATATTTGTAATATTTATTTATGTAATATCTGTAATGTTTATTTATGTAATATCTGTTATGTTTATTTATGTAATATTTGTAATGTTTATTTATAATGTAATATCTGTAATGTTTATTTATGTAATATCTGTAATATTTATTTATGATTTATATTATAAGAGAAATAAGAAATATTTAGTTTCCCAAGCGGTAGTCAGACGAACAAATATTGGTTCTGGATAAACCATTAGATTAAGAGGTTAACAGTAGTTGAGTAGTTAGTTAGTTAGTTAGTTAGTTAGTTAGATAGTTAGTTAGTTAGTTAGTTAGATAGATAGTTAGTTAGTTAGTTAGTTAGTTAGATAGTTAGTTAGTTAGTTATTTAGTTAGTTAGTTAGATAGTTAGTTAGTTAGTTAGTTAGTTAGTTAGTTAGTTAGTTAGTTAGCTATCTAGCTAGTTAGTTAGTTAGTTAGTTAGTTAGTTAGTTAGTTAGTTATTTAGTTAGTTATTTAGTTAGTTATTTAGTTAGTTATTTAGTTAGATATTTAGTTAGTTATTTAGTTAGTTATTTAGTTAGATATTTAGTTAGTTAGTTAGTTAGTTGGTTAGTTAGTTAGTTAGTTATTTAGTTAGTTATTTAGTTAGTTATTTAGTTAGTTATTTAGTTAGTTAGTTAGTTAGTTAGTTAGTTAGTTAGTTAGTTAGTTAGTTAGTTAGTTAGTTAGTTAGTTAGTTAGTTAGTTAGTTAGTTAGTTAGTTAGTTAGTTAGTTAGCTATCTAGCTAGTTAGTTAGTTAGTTAGTTAGTTAGTTAGTTATTTAGTTAGTTATTTAGTTAGTTATTTAGTTAGTTAGTTAGTTAGTTAGATATTTAGTTAGTTATTTAGTTAGTTATTTAGTTAGATATTTAGTTAGTTAGTTAGTTAGTTGGTTAGTTAGTTAGTTAGTTATTTAGTTAGTTATTTAGTTAGTTATTTAGTTAGTTATTTAGTTAGTTAGTTAGTTAGTTAGTTAGTTAGTTAGTTAGTTAGTTAGTTAGTTAGTTAGTTAGTTAGTTAGTTAGTTAGTTATTTAGTTAGTTATTTAGTTAGATATTTAGTTAGTTAGTTAGTTAGTTGGTTAGTTAGTTAGTTAGTTATTTAGTTAGTTATTTAGTTAGTTATTTAGTTAGTTATTTAGTTAGTTAGTTAGTTAGTTAGTTAGTTAGTTAGTTAGTTAGTTAGTTAGTTAGTTAGTTAGTTAGTTAGTTATTTAGTTAGTTATTTAGTTAGTTATTTAGTTAGTTAGTTAGTTAGTTAGTTAGTTAGTTAGATATTTAGTTAGTTATTTAGTTAGTTATTTAGTTAGATATTTAGTTAGTTAGTTAGTTAGTTAGTTAGTTAGTTAGTTAGTTAGTTAGTTAGTTAGTTATTTAGTTAGTTATTTAGTTAGTTATTTAGTTAGTTATTTAGTTAGTTAGTTAGTTAGTTAGTTAGTTAGTTAGTTAGTTAGTTAGTTAGCTATCTAGCTAGTTAGTTAGTTAGTTAGTTAGTTAGTTAGTTAGTTATTTAGTTAGTTATTTAGTTAGTTATTTAGTTAGTTATTTAGTTAGATATTTAGTTAGTTATTTAGTTAGTTATTTAGTTAGATATTTAGTTAGTTAGTTAGTTAGTTGGTTAGTTAGTTAGTTAGTTATTTAGTTAGTTATTTAGTTAGTTATTTAGTTAGTTATTTAGTTAGTTAGTTAGTTAGTTAGTTAGTTAGTTAGTTAGTTAGTTAGTTAGTTAGTTAGTTATTTAGTTAGTTATTTAGTTAGATATTTAGTTAGTTAGTTAGTTAGTTGGTTAGTTAGTTAGTTAGTTAGTTAGTTAGTTAGTTAGTTAGTTAGTTAGTTAGTTAGTTAGTTAGTTAGTTATTTAGTTAGTTATTTAGTTAGATATTTAGTTAGTTAGTTAGTTAGTTAGTTAGTTAGTTAGTTAGTTAGCTAGTTAGTTAGTTAGTTAGTTAGTTAGTTATTTAGTTAGTTATTTAGTTAGTTATTTAGTTAGTTATTTAGTTAGATATTTAGTTAGTTATTTAGTTAGTTATTTAGTTAGATATTTAGTTAGTTAGTTAGTTGGTTAGTTAGTTAGTTAGTTATTTAGTTAGTTATTTAGTTAGTTATTTAGTTAGTTATTTAGTTAGTTAGTTAGTTAGTTATTTAGTTAGTTATTTAGTTAGATATTTAGTTAGTTAGTTAGTTAGTTGGTTAGTTAGTTAGTTAGTTATTTAGTTAGTTATTTAGTTAGTTATTTAGTTAGTTATTTAGTTAGTTAGTTAGTTAGTTAGTTAGTTAGTTAGTTAGTTAGTTAGTTAGTTAGTTAGTTAGTTAGTTATTTAGTTAGTTATTTAGTTAGTTATTTAGTTAGTTAGTTAGTTAGTTAGTTAGTTAGTTAGATATTTAGTTAGTTATTTAGTTAGTTATTTAGTTAGATATTTAGTTAGTTAGTTAGTTAGTTAGTTAGTTAGTTAGTTAGTTAGTTAGTTAGTTAGTTAGTTATTTAGTTAGTTATTTAGTTAGTTATTTAGTTAGTTATTTAGTTAGTTAGTTAGTTAGTTAGTTAGTTAGTTAGTTAGTTAGTTAGTTAGCTATCTAGTTAGTTAGTTAGTTAGTTAGTTAGTTAGTTAGTTAGTTATTTAGTTAGTTATTTAGTTAGTTATTTAGTTAGTTATTTAGTTAGATATTTAGTTAGTTATTTAGTTAGTTATTTAGTTAGATATTTAGTTAGTTAGTTAGTTAGTTGGTTAGTTAGTTAGTTAGTTATTTAGTTAGTTATTTAGTTAGTTATTTAGTTAGTTAGTTAGTTAGTTAGTTAGTTAGTTAGTTAGTTAGTTAGTTAGTTAGTTAGTTAGTTAGTTATTTAGTTAGTTATTTAGTTAGATATTTAGTTAGTTATTTAGTTAGTTATTTAGTTAGATATTTAGTTAGTTAGTTAGTTAGTTGGTTAGTTAGTTAGTTAGTTATTTAGTTAGTTATTTAGTTAGTTAGTTAGTTAGTTAGTTAGTTAGTTAGTTAGTTAGTTAGTTAGTTAGTTAGTTAGTTATTTAGTTAGTTATTTAGTTAGATATTTAGTTAGTTAGTTAGTTAGTTGGTTAGTTAGTTAGTTAGTTAGTTAGTTAGTTAGTTAGTTAGTTAGTTAGTTAGTTAGTTAGTTAGTTAGTTGGTTAGTTAGTTAGTTAGTTAGTTAGTTAGTTAGTTAGTTAGTTAGTTAGTTAGTTAGTTAGTTAGTTAGTTAGTTAGTTAGTTAGTTAGTTAGTTAGTTAGTTAGTTAGTTAGTTAGTTAGTTAGTTAGTTAGATATTTAGTTAGTTAGTTAGTTAGTTAGTTAGTTAGTTAGTTAGTTAGTTAGTTAGTTAGTTAGTTAGTTAGTTAGTTAGTTAATAGTAGTTACCTTCTTCTTTAGCACTGGAGTCTGTCTGAGATAAGGCTACGTACTCATTGTAATCACAGTCCATATTTCTAGTAGAACTATCTCCATATCATACCTAATAGTAGAATCTGGCTCACAAGTTGTTATATATACAGATTATAGGTTGTTAAATATCCGTCAAAACTAAACAGGGACAAAAGGAAATCGCGGCATGTGCGGAATCACGATTTTCTTTTGTCCCTGAAACTAAAGGGGGGTTTCAATTAATCCAATTCTTGACTCAAGCCTTTTTTATTGCGTTCTTCTTTACCTACAGAGTATTCATTTTTATCATGTTTTAATACTTTTGCTCCATTAAAACTGCAAATTACCTGTACACAGCTTATAATTAATAAAATTAATAAGCAAAGGATTCTGGCATACATCGAAAATATATTTAAAACTTTAACAAATTCACAATAATTTTCAAAAAATAACTTAAATTGAATGATTAAGAGAAGCTACTAGAGGGATAACTATTTTACTTTTACATTAAAGAAAAGAATCACCCTAACGCTCATCCTGAATCACTAGATGAGTATCCACTCACTAAACTACTCACTAACAGTGCACCACTACTCACTGAACTAAGGTTATTAGGCGCTATATCTGAACGTTCTGTGCTAAAACCATCAGTTTTATTACTGCTTAAAATAGCTTGAATAGTCTGGCCGGAAGTTTCACCAGTATCTATTCCATTAGCTGCCCTCTCCTTCCCAGCTGATATACTACAAGAGGGTGCCCTCTCCTTCCCAGCTGATATATTACAAGAGGGTGCCCTCTCCTTCCCAGCTGATATATTACAAGAGGGTGCCCTCTCCTTCCCAGCTGATATATTACAAGAGGGTTCTGAACGTCTTCTGAACGGTTTCTTAGCAGGTAAAAACACTTCTGATGAGGAGATACTTGAGGAGGAGGAGGAGGAGAAACTTGAGGAGGAGGAGGAGGTTTCTGCAGACCGTCTCCTTTTCCCTTGAACCTGTATTACGGTTAGTTTCAAGAATTAAAATTATAAAAGAAAATATAAAAGATATATAGTACTGCAGTGAATAGTCGACAGATATGGATATTCATAACGAAAAGAGCGTAGAGATATAAAACACATGTTATTTATAGGTTTATAGGAATTAAGGCTAAGTGGTAAATGCTTGAATTAGAAACTATATTTCGTTAATAACCGTGTCACTATGAGCTTACCTTAACTAAATTAGAAACATTCACTTGATTGTCTTTGTCGGTGTCAGCCGAGCACTTTACTCCAGAGTGTTTGAGAGAAGTGAGCAGCTTCGTTCTTTTGTCAGTGAATATTGAGCTGATAGCTGACTTCTTATTTAACTTCAATCCGTCCTCTGAGAAAAGAAGGGCTAAAGTTAAGATAATGTTTCGCAGATACAGTAACCATGTTAACCAAGTAAGGGGTTTTATTGCACAGTTACATTATTTAGTTTCAGAGTAGCGTAACTGTAACTTATTCCATTAATTTTTAGAAAAAACTTCTGACTCAGTTTATTCAGAAACGTTCCGAATTCTGCTTCAAACTAAGAAAGAAAAGCACAGTCACAACTGGGATAATATTATCAAAAGGCTCCAAGTTCGTATTCACTCTATAGAGATTGGCTATAATGTATTCCATTTTCTAAAGTTCCCTTTTCACTAAATATAAAATGATATTCAAATGGAAAAGAGGGTTTTTCTTTCAGACGAGAAAGAGTTTGTAATTAATAAGTGAATAGTATGCAATGCAAAAAGCATGTTGCACATACTGTTAGTGGTAAATCTGACTAGAGATGATGTTATTTTACATACTGTTAGTGGTAAATCTGACTAGAGATGATGTTATTTTACATACTGTTAGTGGTAAATCTGACTAGAGATGATGTTATTTTACATACTGTTAGTGGTAAATCTGACTAGAGATGATGTTATTTTACATACTGTTAGTGGTAAATCTGACTAGAGATGATGTTATTTTACATACTGTTAGTGGTAAATCTGACTAGAGATGATGTTATTTTACATACTGTTAGTGGTAAATCTGACTAGAGATGATGTTATTTTATATACTGTTAGTGGTAAATCTGACTAGAGATGATGTTATTTTGTATACTGTTAGTGGTAAATCTGACTAGAGATGATGTTATTTTACATACTGTTAGTGGTAAATCTGACTAGAGATCATGTATTTACATACTGTTAGTAGTAAATCTGACTAGAGATGATGTTATTTTACATACTGTTAGTGGTAAATCTGACTAGAGATGATGTTATTTTACATACTGTTAGTGGTAAATCTGACTAGAGATGATGTTATTTTGTCGTTCTTTGTGGTTGGTAACATCTTCACATCTAGACCCATTTCTTTCTTCAGAAACTTATCAGCGGCTTTGTCACTCTTCCTATCGTCCTGCAAGATATGACTCGTAATTTCTCACCTTGAGTAAAAGTTATCAATAATATCGAGCACAATAAAAAGTAATATCTCTGTCTCCTTGTTTATGATAAGTTATAACCAAAGAAAATATGAAGAGTTTCTATTTTTCTTTCAATCTACTGTCTTATTACTGTACGTTCCTTAAATTAAACATGAATACTGTTGTTAGTGTATGTTAGTGTATGTTAGTGTATGTTACTAGTGTATGTTAGTGTATGTTAGTGTAATGTTTATTACATTAGATCCGTAAAATTAAATCCACAGTTCTCACTGTTACTTACCCTGTGTCTTTTTCGTAGGCTCCGATTCAGCAAATAATCATCTTTCCACACGTCTTGCTTTGCCTGAGGTAAACAAGTTACAGTTACAGATTTATTACCTGAGATTATATCATTTCCAAATTTTATTTGCTTCACCACCAACAGTACACGGGGTGGGGGGGATGGGGGAGGGCCGGGGGTACAATAAGACATTCAGACGTAATTTCTATTTTTTGGATAACTTTCTAGTCGGATATGTTGGTAAACGCTTGGTCTTTCTCAGTGAGAAAATTGACGTAACATACAATCCCACAATCCCACAATATCGGGTACCCTGCTAGTAATAACAATGCAACAGTTTAAAGGACCAGTTAACTGAAAAATTTGTAGTCTCCAATTTGGCTTAGATTTAAATCAGCTGTGACAAACTGGTAAAGAATCGTATCGCCGAAAGAACCAACTCTCTAGCGTACTTGTAACGCGTGTTATTGCAATAATAAGCTGTGGCCTCGTGACGTCATAAAGTCCCTCAGTGCGCGCTTGCATGGCGTAATTTACATTACAAATGTTTATCATCGTCAATAAAACACGTGTAACTCACTCGAATTTTAGAATTATGACTATTATCCTAGTTCTCCAAAATCCTTATAGTTTTGGCTATCATCCTAACTAAAGGAATAGCTGATTTGATGTACAGTGCTCACGTCATGATTTTAAACAGTGATATAGGTTCTTGAACAGTGGCGGGTGAATGTACGGTTAGAAAGTTTCTAATATTACAGTTCTTATGTCATATATGTGATAATTTTGGATTGTTTTCATTGCTTAATTACACAAGCAGGGAGACTGTACCGATTATTTTTCCCCAGTCCATGAAACTCTAACGAATTTAGAAAGGATCTAGATAAGTAGGAGTTTGTTCAATTCCGAGAGCAATTATAGTTATAGCATATAACATTAATCCGCATGTGTCAGCCAGTACAGGAGACAATAAGTCTGGATACTTTACGGCCGTTCCTCTGGGACCATTAGCAGAAGTAGCTTCTATCAGAACAGTGCCGTGGGAACAGAATTCCCGCCAAAATACCCGGTCTACCAAATAGTAATACTGATGGGATCGGAGTGTACAGTGTGCGGTGTGTTTTGAATTAGACTTACGGCTTACCTAGTTGTTATCCTAATTGCATTATCATCGGTACATAACATAAATAAACTACTGGTAAGTTTAAATACCAAGTGCAAACGTGTTCAGTCAATCGACCCACTGAACAACTATAGAATTTCCAAGACCCTATTATTCTCTGGCCATATATTACGGCACGATCGATTGTTAGGTGGCTAAACGACCAACGTTAATCAATACAATTCTAAAACTATGAGCTAGCACTTTAATCTAAAAATACACTTTTTATATTACTCCTGATTTTTACATTTCACGTAAAACATTGTCGCCACAGGTTGATCATGGACACTAACAGCTTGATTTGAGATAAATGACTAATGAGTTTCTCTAAAGTTAACTCTAAAGTTGTGTAGTCCAGTCATTTATGGACATTTATGGAAATGAACCTGCAAATATTCAAATACTCACGAAACTTTGCACAGACCTTCCCGAAGGTATGAATAAACGATTTTCGTTTGGAGACATTTTTTGACCGTGGAGAAAACCCAGGAGGGCCACGCCCATATTGACCCAATAACGTAACCGACCCCTTGCTTCTGAAGGTCGTAGAGACTAGACTTCAAAATAGGCTTGAACAAAGCCGCATATGCATGTTTATATAGGAGTTATTGAGCAACACATGGCCTAAAATCCTTGCTTTTCGATAAATTCGCCAAAAACCATTTTGGGCGTGGTGCTGAGCCCATTTTCGATAGGATCGTGATAGAGTCTTTAGAGAGGGTGCAAAAGAACCGCAATTAGCATATTAATATATGACTTACGAACAAACATATGCCTTAAAGTGCTTACTTTTTCATTTATTGGCGAAAAACTGATTTTCGGTTCCAGAAATCATGCAAAACTATGGATATCTAATAAATTGGGCTATGAAGGCCCTAAAGGTTTTTGAATGTGTGCAAATTGTGCAGAATGGCCATGTTTATATACAACTTATGAAGCAACATGTACCCTAAATTACTTACTTTTCGAGTTATTCGGGGAAAAACATTGTATTATGTCCATTTTCTACCTGTAAAATACAGTCTCACGAGCTCTTCTGCGCGCGCAAGGGACTTTATGACGTCATCGCCAAAATAATACAAACGCTATTTACACGCGTTAGAGAGCAGTTAGAGATTTAGGAATTTCGACACGTTGCTTAGTTTGCTATTTGTCACAATCTGTCAAAATATGAGGACAACTTTTTTTTCAGTTAACTGGTCCTTTAATAACTCTATACGATTACAATTTACATTGTATTGATCCTCTCGCTCTAATTATTATTTGATAACTACACAGTTTTTACCCCTAAATTGTAATTTAAAGAACCTCATCTTCAAATTGAATATCAAGTAGTTCAGAATATTACCGTATTTCTGCATTGTTGTAACGCTATATGTTGTCTAATTACAAAAGTCATACATGTCATTATAGTTACAATTGAAACGTAAAGCTCCACTCCCGGGTATATCTGCTTAAACAGAGAATAATTTACCAGAAGCAGACCCGGGTACCACTAAAGCAGGGGACGACGCTGCTAAGCTGAATGTGAAGAAGTTGGAACCTGATGTGTTTCTAGAGGTGTCCCTAGACGAGGGAGGCAGTTCAGGGAGACGTTCAGCCAGGTTAAAGAAACTGTTGAACAAACTTTGTTTCCCCTTTCCAGGATATGTGTGTTAAATACATTGCGTTGAAGTGAACTGAGAACCTAAAACCTTGTAATTGTGTAATGTGAGTTGGTTTATGATAGCATTACTCGACGCAGGTGTGTAGTTTTCCTGTAGATCTTGGGATATGCACGTTTTATTAAGTTTTTAGCAGTTTGCTGTTTTTATTGATTTTTGTAACCCCCATTTTGTTAAGATTCGTTTGATACACGGGCATGAAATCAGCTAACATTAGCATTGAACATAGGGGTCGTTCACATATTACGTAATCAGTTGAGGGGTGGGGGGGGGGGGGGGGGGGTTCCGAATGATTACGCTAGTGTAATTTTGACACAATAGCTATGTGTAAAACCGATTACGGAGGGGGGGGGGGGGGGGGGGGGGGGTAAAAATGTTCCAAAAAATGATTGCGTAATATGTGAACGACCCCATATTAGCCCACAATTTTGAGAAGAGCTATATTTGAGTTTATTTCACACGCTGAATCCGAACACTTTGTTGGATTTATCTCATTTATGTCTACGAGATTTGACATGAACGGCAAAATAATTGAACAGCAAATTTTAGTCGTTTTAACAAGAAAACTGAACAACAAAATGTTTCTTTTTAAGAATAAGAAGTAGTAATGCTGAAAGTGATACAAAATCGAGTTACAGTAAATAATGATTAAAAATAAGAAAGAAAATGCAATTAAAATATTATATTCAATTCAGGATATTGAATGACCGAAGAACACAGAACTATAAAATTATCTAAAAGGTACAGTCGTTCAGTTACAATCAATAATTAACTGTAATTAATTATACAATTATAATTAATGATATAATTATCACTTAATATTGTCCTTCCCACTCTTCCATGTCATTAGTGACGTCCTTGTAGCTGTTTTTCCACTTGCCGTCCACAGGGAGAACCATGGTCCTGTCTTCACTGGTGCTGTCCAGACAGACCCGTCTGATGGAAATGTCGCTGTAACCTCGGTAGTATAGACATCCCTCTGTCAGACTCTTCACTGCTATCCACGATGTCTGGTCGTAATCAACATCCTCGTGAGCATTCCTCGTAGAGCGAGACTTTGCCTTCTTATCCTTCTTGTTTTTCTTGTTCTTCTTGTCCTTCTTGTTGGACTCCTTGGACTGCTCCTCCTCTTCGTCTTCACTGTGGGACCCGAACATCACTATTCCCTGTGGAATGTCAGCAGCATTCATCAGATGGAATGATTGCATGAGAGCTTCATTCTTGGTCTGGGGTTTATTAACGTGCTTGAGCAGAGTAGCAGCTTTAATGAAGCGACTGGGAGAGGAGTAGTCACCAGGCATTCCAGTAGTTCCAGACCCTCCGTTAGACTTCATACCGTGGACCTCACCCCAGTTCTCAGGACGCAGCTGAGGGTAGTTCCTCAAGTTCTCCATGTGCCAGTCGTAGTTGGGTGAGTTAGTGAGGACTCCCACAGTGTTGTTGTACACTTGTCTACCCCTCTGTTTGGTGTACTCCAGGATCACAGCGTCTCCAGTCTTGTCTGCAAACTGGTAGTGTAAAGGGTGAACCATTCCTTCCTCCTCCTCCGCATATACCTCGGGGAAGGTGCCGTTGTTGATAGCGTCTCTGATCTCCTGTACGGACCCGAACATAGCCAGCACGTACTTGCCCACCCTGAGATGAGGTATGGAGTTGTCACAGTGCTCCTCTGTCAGGGAGTCCATGTCTGGGAAGTGAGAGAAGTTAGGGAAGTAGAGCGTACTAGCGGACACTCCCGCACTGTTCATACCGTCAGAGTCAGCGTTACTCCACGAGTTACCGTAGTTCCAACGTAACTTCACTGACTTGTATCTGTTCCTGAACCTAGGAGCAAGTGTTATTAAACACTAACTTCATTCTACTACTAATACTTCATGGTACATTGAGTAGGTACCTAAGACACCAGAAGGTACCTAAATAAGTGGTACCTGAGTAGGTAAGTAAGTAGATTGTCTCACCTGAAAGGTTCCTCGCAGTTGGGTAGCTCAGGCATGGTGTGCTCTAGATCCCTCGGTTCAGCAACCACATACGCATCTATCTGAGCGAACTCCATGCTCCTGCTCACAATAACATTACCATCCTCCGCAATCATCCGGATCTCCTGACACTGCTCCGAGAGCACTAGCAGCGTGGCTAGAATCGTTACTAAAAGCATCTCCTACAAGATCAGACTGGAGTTTAGAATCCGGAAATAATTTCAATTTTATCGATAAACAGGCAGCCAAAAGAGATCTAGTGCGACCTTCATCATTCATGCGTGTTTGGAACACTGTTGTTACAAAATCATACCAAGCTTCAAAGTATAAAGCTCAGATTAACCATGAAGATTCATAAAATCTCCAAAGACATGAATAAATGTCGCGTACGCTAGCAGAAACTTAAATCACAGTAATCTGCGAGAAATGAGCCCTGACAAAGGTTATCACGTATTTGAAGGAAGCAGGTCTTCTAAAACAGCGTACGAATAAAATTCTATCCGCTTAGTAAATGAGATTTTAGGACCCAAATTAGATTTGCAGGAAGGACGGCGAGTACAAGCATTCTTCTCACACGTACTGTTAGCATAGTCCTGCAATATCCTTATCCAATGTGGCTATTATTGCAGCCTCTAAAGGAAGTTCCTGCAGGAATCAATAATTAGATTATCATACTATCACTGTCCATCTATAATTGTAATCTCATCAGAAGAGAGGCCGAGGAAGATCTGCACTAAGCTCAAAGGAGACTAATCTCTTATAGATTATTGGTCCACTATCAAGTTGATCAGATCACAGAGATAAAATACTTGCAAATGTCTGTTAAGACTCTCTGGGATCGTGATGAATGAGAATTAAGAATTCTTCCAGATTCCATAAAGTAATTATGTTTAACACGAATATTTCTATCCCAACACGAATGAAAAGGATGAAATGTTAATCAGAGTGACTTCCGAGATGGTTATGACCCTGGTCATTAGGAAAGTTCGCAGTTCGCACGAGATGGACCACGTTTTTCCCAATTTAACTTGAGAAGATTGTCACAGGAAGAACTTTTAATATAGGGGCCATCAACTTAGGACGTCCGGCAAATAGGGAGGGGGGGGGGGGGGGGTAGTTTTGGAATTTCGGACAAATCCGGACAGGGGGAGGGGGTGGTTTCGACTTACTTGCACTTATGTTAGATCTTGTTACTATTGAAAGTAGCTCTTAGTATAGGGGGGGGGGGGGGTTGGGGGCGCTTAGTATAGAACGATTCGAATTTTAAATTTTCTTGTGGGAAATGAGAATTTTATCAGTTTTAATGTTGGACCAAATTGTTACTACGAATGATAGAACACACAATTGCTCAGTTGTGAAATCCTCGGAATCTGCCAGACTTTTCCAAGAAACCTCTGCGCCAGCCAGGAGCACAACTTCTGCGTTTTATATTTGAAGATTTCTAAATTATAATACGAATTTCTCGGAAAATCAAAAATATCTGAAATAACACGAACAGTCAAGTCCGAAAAAACATGATTCGTTGAGTCAAACGGTGTAATATATGCATTATATTTGATATTATACAGGTCCCCTATCAGTGCGAGGCTCGCACAGTTGGGCTTTTCAATTTCACTCTCATTTTTGTCTGAGATTTTAATCATTGCCCTATATATCAGGTGAATAATATATAATTATATATATATATATCATATCGTCACCTACAAATAGAAAGGGCCTATGTCGACATAGGCCCTTTTAAAAAACTATACCAGCACGAGAATCTGTGGAACCATACCTACCATATCCCCAAATATAAAGTCAATTGGGTGAAAATTGAATATCTTAAGTTTTTTAAATGGGCCTATATTAACATAGTCCTTTTTCAATAAACTGGACTGCTACTGATATTGATAAAAATAAAAGGGCCCATGTCGACATATGCCCTAACAAATTGTTGGAATGTGATGTTTTTGATGATGTTTTTGAAAAGTAAAAGGGCTTAAGTCAACATATGCCCTAACAAATTGTTGGAATGTGATGTTTTTGATAATGTTTTTGAAAAGTAGAAAGGGCCTAAGTCAACATAATATGCCCTAACAAATTGTTGGAATGTGATGTTCAAAGAAATAAATTTGAAAGTTAAAAGGACCTATTATGTACACAATACACATACTATATGTACACAATACACATACGCCCTATACCGATTCTCACATGTAAGATGTTTCAATTAATTAAGAGGGGCCTATGTATCGAATGTTGTTTTAAATGGGCCTACGTCAAAATTAAATCAATTACCCCAATTATTCAATTAATTGAAAAGCTTCAGGAACATTTTCAGAGTGTAGCCTGCCAGTCATTCTTTCCATTTAGGATACATAGAAATCAAATTCAAATGCCTATCCTAAATTTAATTTCCATAAATAGGTTTTTATGCATTATCTCAAAACGACTTTTTTCGACATAAGCTTCTATTTGTAGGTGACGACATGATGTTTTTTCCGTATATTTTTCTAGACCTTTTCCGTTCTCAAATACTACTTCGAAGCTGTAATTCACAGAATGGCGAAATTTTAAATTTATAAGGTGACAGCGAACAAAGAATGGAGTAAATAACAGATAGTGAATGAATAGATATTAACTGAGGAGTGGTCTGTAGCGTCGACTGGAGCAGGCTCAGGTGGGGGTGTAAATGTTGAAATCAGAAATCTTTTTCTCGGATTTCTCTTTATTAATACATGATATATTTTGTATTTCTTTTTCTGGAATACTCGACCTTCGGATATATTCATTTCTGATCGTTATTCATAGACACTCCGAAATTGAAAATAGAGAAGATGACAGCAAACAGAGAATGGAGCTACTAACAGATAGTTCAGTTTCTTAAAAGGACCCTGACAAGGAGAATATTTCATGTAGTCCATGCAGTTAGCCTCCCCCTGCCTGCCTGCAGTTGGAAATAAACGCATACAGAAAGGTAAGTTGAAGAGTCTCTGAAGCAGAACATACTTGACTGAGATTTTATTTGGCACAGATCAACCAGATTATATATATATAGCTATATCTTACAGTGTCATTGATATTACGGAGAGTCTGTAAGAATCCATTGATCTCAGTCAATTCCATGTTCAGTTCCACCTATTGAATAATTAAGACTTTAAGACGTGCCAATAAATGAATAGATATTAACTGAGGAGAGGTTTGCAGTGTCGACTGGAGCAGGCTCAGGTGGGGATGTAAATGTTGAAATGTGTTTTTTCTGAAATATTAATTCGAGGTTGTAATTCATAGAAACACCGAAATTTAAAATATAGAGGATGACAGCGAACAAAGAACGGAGCTACTAACGGATAGTTGAGCCTTTGGATTGTGAAAAATAACGGGTAGCAGTGGACCCAGCTGATTTAGTGAGCATCATGAAATTAAGATATGTCAGTAGAATGAATAGATATTAACTGAGGAGTGGTCTGTAGCGTCAACTGGAGCAGGCTCAGGTGGGGATGTAAATGTTGAAATCAGAAATCCTTTTCTCCTCCTCTTTATTAATACATGATATTTGATTTCTTATTGTAATTCATAGACAGAGACACTCCGAAATTCAAAATAGTAAAGATGACAGCAAACAAAGAATGAAGTTACTAACGGATAGTTGAGCCTTTTAAAAGGACCCTGACAAGGAGAAGAAGCACACTTTCCATCGGGCATTATTCAAGGAGGATGGCTCTGTCCCGGTTCTGGTATCTTCTCGATCTACATTGTACATGGGTTATCTCACTTTCTGAACCTCGTAATTTGTTTACATTGATCCCCACTTTGTACATATTATACACAATGTAATAATAAGCCCTAATAACATCATGATATTATACTATCTAGATTTAACCTATGTTTCTATACTAGCAACTAGTAGTAACTAGTAGTATTAAACCCGTGATGGGGTAGCATGAGCCTCAATAGGATGTTACATCAATATATTATGATAATCACATATTCAAATAATATCAATAAACAATAAACATTATGATTGATCGTTAACACTAAATGTAAAATTAATCTACATCTAAAGAATCAATAATCTATATTATGTTACGTGATAAATTTTATCATTTCTCCACTCCTTTTCATTTTGAATTACAAATTAATAATAATCGCTATATATTATGATTAAAGCTGTAAAAATCCAAGTATTTTGTTAGCACGTACTGTACTGCACAGGGAATTGTTTAGATATTTGTGTAGATTTGCCTTTAAGTGTGGCAGAACAATGCAGTGACTGCTAAATCAAAATGCTTGATTGCCGTTAAAAAAAATGTTCTGCACTCACGTTCGAATTAAACTCGAATTCCTACATTTGTTATATTTCGTTCGAATTTCGTTTAAAGAATAAACTTGTAAGGAACACAGTTCTTTTCAGTCCATGAACCGTTTTTTTCAGTGCCAAGTTTTTGTTTATCGAGTAAATATCGTACAACCGTATCCTTAAAAACAAATCGACAAATTTATCTTGTAACTTAGGTACGTTAAAGGGCAGGTTTTTATTTATTTCGTTCATCGTGTTGTTATACGATCGTGGTCCTTATGTTAATATAGGCAAGTTTCCATAAATGAAATTTTGTTATCGGCGCTGATAATCGCTTATTGGGCGCTTTTTCGGCGCTTTAAAAAAAACAGCCGTTTATAATCGATTTTTTCTGGCCAACCACATTTCCACCACTTTTTACCGCCAATCCTACTGGAAAATCGCTTTCAAATCGTTTGTGGAGACTTATGATCGCTTATGATCGCTAATAAGCGCTTTTAAAAATTAAAAAGCGCTTTTTTGAACTATTACATCAATTATAGTCGATTATAAGCGATTTTTTTTGAACCGCTTATAATCGTAAAAAAATCGATTATAAACGGCTGTTTTTTTAAAAAGCGCCGAAAAAGCGCCCAATAAGCGATTATCAGCACCGATAACAAAATTTCATTTATGGAAACTTGCCTTAATATACACTATACATGTACAGTACAGACTATAATCGGAGATAATTAATATGGCTCTTCTGTTGATTATTGTTGATTATTGTTGATAAATCTATTGTATAATGTGGCTTATTTTCCTGCGTAGTTTTAGTGGAGGTTTTCGACGTATTATTTCGTATCATATTGTTAGACATCAAGAACAATGTGATACAACGATGCGGATAATTTTGCTTCT